AATTAGCGTTCACGTTTTCGGTCCCGTTTGAAAGCCATCACAACATTTCTATGGGATCCTGTGTGATAACTTCTTAACTAGAATTTATAATTGTACGTGAAACAGACTTAGCTTCAGCGTGTCATGCAGGTCAGATTAACACATTTGCGATCAAGTTAACACAGCTGCAGAAAATGTCTCTAATTTATCCTAAAATGTTTAAATCGAATCATGAGGGTGAGTAAATAATGAAAAACCCACGGTATTTCCATGCTTATAGTGCCGTATTCCTATTTTAAAAGTTTCAATGACGTATTCTGTTTAAACTGCACAGCTGTAAAAGTAAATTAAACTCCAGTTTAATACGAGACTCAAGGAGATAGTGATCTAATTCTAGCTGTTACTGTTCTACAGAACTCTGGAGTGATCTAAATGTAGCTGTTACTGTTCTATACAACTCCCAGGTGATATATTTGTAGCTGTTACTGTTCTAAAGAACACCAGAGTGATATACTTGTAGCTGTTACTGTTCTATAGAACTCTAGAATGATATAGTTGTACCTATTACTGTTCTATATAAGTCTATAGTGATATAATTGTAGCTGTTACCGTTCTATAGAACTCTAGAGTGATATGGTTGTGGCTGTTACTGTTCTATAGAAGTCTATGGTGATATAGTTGTAGCTGTTACTGTTCTATAGAAGTCTATAGTGATATAGTTGTTGCTGTTACCGTTCTATAGAACTCTATAGTGATATAGTTGTAGCTGTTACTGTTCTATAGAAGTCTATAGTGATATAGTTGTAGCTGTTACCGTTCTATAGAACTCTATAGTGATATAATTGTAGCTGTTACTGTTCTACAGAACTCTAGAATGATATAGTTGTAGCTGTTTTTGTTTTATAGAACTCTAGAATGATATAGTTGTAGCTGTTACTGTTCTATAGAACTCTATAGTGACATAGTTGTAGCTGTTACTGTTCTATGGAAGTCTATAATAATATAGTTGTAGCTGTTACTGTTCTACTTTGGTGTGTGTGTATATTTAAATATTCTTCCACCTTTGTGTGTTTATATATAGGTATTCTTCCACCTTGGTTTCTATATATAGGTATTCTTCAACCTTGGTTTGTATATGTAGGTATTCTTCCACTTTTGTGTGTTTATATATAGATATTCTTCCACCTTGGTTTCTATATATAAGTATTCTTCCACCTTGGTTTCTATATATAAGTATTCTTCCACCTTGGTTTCTATATATAAGTATTCTTCAACCTTGGTTTATATATATATAAGTATTCTTCCACCTTGGTTTCTATATATATAGGTATTCTTCCACCTTGGTTTGTATATATAGGTATTCTTCAACCTTGGTTTCTATATATAAGTATTCTTCCACCTTGGGTTCTATATATAGGTATTCTTCCTCCTTGGTTTGTACTATATATAGGTATTCTTCCACCTTGGTTTGTATATATAGGTATTCTTCCACCTTGGTTTCTATATATAGGTATTCTTCCACCTTGATATATATTGTTTGTTTGTAATTATGCACAAAGCTACACAATGGGCTATCTGTGCTCTGCCTACCACGGGTATTGAAACCCGGTTTCTAACGTTGTAAGTCCGCAGACATACCTCTGTGCCACTGAGGGGCCCTTGATATGTATAGGTATTCTTCCATCTTGGTTTGTATATATGGGTATTCTTCCACCTTGGTGTGTGTTTATATATAGGTATTCTTCTACCTTGATTTGTGTATATATAGGTATTCTTCCACCTTGGTATGTATGTATAGGTATTTTTCCACCTTGGTATTTATATATAAGTATTCTTCCACCTTGGTTTGTATATATAGGTATTCTTCCACCTTTGTTTCTATATATATAGGTATTCTTCCACCTTGATATGTATTGTTTGTTTGTAATTATGCACAAAGCTACACAATGGGCTATCTGTGTTCTGCCTACCACAAGTATTGAAACCCGGTTTCTAGCGTTGTAAGTCCGCACACATACCGCTGTGGCACTGTGGGGCCCTTGATATGTATATAAAGGTATTCTTCCACCTTTGTATGGATATATAGGTATTCTTCCATTGCTCTAATGAACTCTTTCCTTCCCACTATTTGTTGTTGATGTTCAATTCTGTTGTCATAAGAAAAATGTTACTTAACCATCATGTTGTTGCTGTTGTCGTGACCAACAGAGACCCTCGCCAACTGTATTGTTGATGTAGTTTTGTTTTCCTGACAAGTAAGATCCGTTCACTTTGATACAGTTTCAGTTTTCTAGCCAATAAAAACTGAATCGCCCTCGTCGTGTTGTTGTTCTGACCAATTAAAGCACTTTCATGTACCTTTGTTTCTTGACCATAAGAAACATTCCATCTAATCCTCATCTGCATATAATTATATCTTCCTGACAAATTAAACCTAACCCTAACCTAACTTAATTTTGTTTTCCTCACCAATAGTAACAATCTATTGAACTAACTCTTTGATACAGATTTATTTTTCTGATCAACGAAAACCTCCCATCTAACTCATGTTTTCTTGTTCTCTCCAATAAAAAAAAAATAAAGTTTCATTTATTTGTTGTATTATAAATGTTCATAATTTATTATGTTTTATTCAGTTTTATATTACTTACTGCATTGTCTTTAAGCCTAGTACTCCATAATAAACTGCACTGGCAGCTGGTTTCTCTTAAAAACGATGTTCTCAGGTACTGAATTTTCTAATAGTGCTGCCTCACGATCTTACAAACGTTAATCTTAGGTAGTAAGTGTTCCTACCGTTTTGCGTAACGAAGAAAAGGTTTCTAGTAAGAATGTTTTTTTTTATTGAAAACAGGAATTAATACGTAGCATTCACATAGTTATTGAAACTAGTGAACGATCTACATGTCTTGGATAATAAGTCAGATTATCTAGCGATGTACATAACCCTGATAGTAAATCAGATTAGTTAGTGATGTATACCGCATAGACAATATGTCCAATTAGTCAGCAATCTACATAACCCGGATAGTAAATCAGTTTAGTCAATGATGTATATCGCATAGACAATAAGTCAGATTAGTCAGCGATCTACATAACCCTGATGGTAAATCAGATTAGTTAGTGATGTATACCGCATAGACAATAAATCAGATTAGTCAGCGATCTACATAACCCGGATAGTAAATCAGATTAGTTAGTGATGTATATCGCATAGACAATATGTCCAATTAGTCAGCGATCTACATAACCCGGATAGTAAATCTAATTAGTTAGTGATGTATACCGCATAGAAAATAAGTCAGATTAGTCAGTGATGTACCTGAAATAGACAGTAAGTCAGACTAGTCAGTGGTGTACACAATCTGAAAAACAGTTTACCATACTAACTAAACCTAAACAAAATGTCTTCAGTTTATGCTGGAACATTCCCATCAGTACATCTCTCTACATTAGGCCTAATTAGCTTCTAGTTTCTCAGCAGCAAAATAAAGTCACTGCAGAGTTAAAGTAGCTTAGTTTAAAA